TGGCTTCCTCCATTGCTGGGGCAACCAAGCCTCCTGCTTGCTCCAGCTCTGTGGCTGCTGGCCGCCATCTTGGTTGGGTTAATTTGCATATAGTCACTGTGATTGGCTTTGGGCGTGGCTTGTGGGCGTGACTTGTGAGTATAGCAGAGGTACAGTCAATTTGCATGTTTCTCTTTTATTAGATAAGATTATGTATAACAAGATATTATAAAAATTATTAAGTTTTTATTAAAACGTTTGTTACATACTGGCTCTGCTGCAAAAATATTCATTGTGGGCCTCATGTAGCCCGCGGGCCGTGAGTTTGACATGCTTGATGAAAGGACTGGTCATGGAAATCAAACCCAATCCTTTGCTTCCTATTTTCAGTTTGGATCAAAGAAGACACACTCACCCAAGCCTGGGTTGGATAGAAAAAAAGCATGTCAAGGAGAGGTAATTTACATCAGGTAGAGGTAATTTGAATGGGAGGAAAATGATGTTTAGGGACTGTGGAAGTCAGCAATCCTCACAGGAAACTAAACTACTGTGTATATTAGTAGAAATAAGGGGGAATGAAGTTGTTTTTGAGACCTGAGAGCCAGAGCTGGAGTAATCATACTGCAAGATACAGCTCAATTATTTTCTCTTTATTTATTTATCTCTATCTCTCTACCTTTCTTTTTTTGGAATTTCAGTGAAATTTTATCAGAAAATTATTAGAGGAACTTGTTTATGTAAGGAAATAATACTTCTCAATATGTAGTGTTTTTGTCAGTAGAAAAATGAAATACTGGTTATTGATTCAGATGCTATTAAATTAAAAATCCCCTTTTTGTTTTACTTTGTGGGATAGTAAAGAAGAAATATTTTTTGCTGTTGTTAATCCTTACCCGAGGACATTTTTCTATTGATTTTTAGAGATAGTGGATGAGAGGGGGAGAAACAGAGAGAGAAACATTGATATAGAGCAGTGGTTCTCAACCTTCTGGCCCTTTAAGTACAGTTCCTCATGTTGTGACCCAACCATAAAATTATTTTCGTTGCTACTTCATAACTGTAATGTTGCTACTGTTATGAATCATAATGTAAATATCTGATATGCAGGATGGTCTTAGGCGACCCCTGTGAAAGGGTCGTTTGACCGCCAAAGGGGTCGCGACCCACAGGTTGAGAACCGCTGATATAGAGAGACACATCGACTGGTTGTCTCCTGCACATGCCCTGACCAGGGCCAGGGATTGAGCCTGCAATCGACCATGCCCTTGACTGGAATCAAACCTGGGACCCTTCAGTCCACAGGCTAATGCTATATCCGTTGAGCCAAATCAGCTAGGACAAGAAGATTTTCAATTTTGTCAAAAATGGATAGCCAGTAGATATGCAATTATGTAATCAGATTTGAAATATACGTTCATTAATCCATTCAACAGATATTTCTTGAATACCTAATATGTAATAAACAGTCATGTGTTTCCCCAAAACTCAGGCTTTTCACAAAAGCAATTTGATATTCCCATGTACTAATTGCACTTAGTAGCTACTGCTCTCTTTTTGAGAACATAAATGTGTGTAATGTTTAGCCCATGATGAAAAATTGCTTGAGCTATTAGGCTCTTCTATATAAACTGACATGATACATTGGTTATATTTTGGAGGATTCTTTTTCATAGCACATTCTTTTTAGATTAAATTTTGCTAGCAGATTCCTATTTGCTCACAGTAACCAGGCATGCATCTTGCTGACATCTGCAGGAGATTAAATTTAAGGCAAGTTTTCAGGAAATTATTGGGCTTATTGAATGACCTATTATCCTAGTATCTTTAACATTTTCTTGATGCTTTTGTTTTCTTTCCATAATTTTCTATATATGCCATTTGAATGATGAAGACCATTTCCTCTACCATAAATAAAATAGCCTTCCAAAATTACAACAAACCCTGGCTGAGTAGTTCAGCTGGTTAGAGTGTTGTCTCAATATGACAAGGTTGCAGGTTCATCCTTGATCAGGGCACATACCAGAATCAACCAATGGATGCATATAGGTGGAACAACAAATCAATGTCTCTCTCTCTCTCTCTCTCTCTCCTCTCTCTCTTTCTCTCTCCCTCCCTCCCTCTGTCCCTCTCCTTCCCTTCCTCTCTCTAAAACCAATCAATCAATAAATTAAAAAAAAATTAAAATTACAACTAACCTACAGAACAACCGTCATTAAACACTGCCTGAAATCTAGCTGAAGAGAAGATCTATGTCTTTAAGTTTAGGATATAAAGAAGGAGTCACATGAGACTGGTAGGAGGGGCAGAGATGCCAAACTGCTGATCCCACACTCATGTGTGGTAGTTAAAAATTGGGAGGGATATCTTGGCTGCAGAGGTCCCACCCTGAGGACTGAGGAGTCAAAGTCCCACACCAGGCCCCCCAGCCCGGAGTTTCAGTAACAGGAAGAGAATTCCCCATAACTTCTGGCTGAAAAACCCAGCATAGGTTGTGTCTGAGTGAGAAGGAGAGCTGCAGGAGTCCCAAGCAGTTACCCTTAAAGAGCCCACACATGGACTTTCTCAATTCACTCTCTTTGAGCTTCAGTGCTAGGGCAGCACTTTGAAAGGTGCTAGGCACATATGGGAAGGACCTGAATTGTCTGGCTTCAGGACAAAGGCTGGAGGGGCAGTTTTGTCCCAGACAGAAGTGTTGGCAAAGTTCATTGTTCTTTTACTGAGCCCTCCCCCCACAGAGCCAGCAGGCAGGTGCCATATCTGAGTCTACACCAACCTGGCTAACAATGTTAGTCCCACCCTAATAGTTCCCTGAAACCCTGCCTCACCCAACATTTGGGCCCACCCAAACCCTTTTTAGTAGTTTTTTTCAAACAAACAGCCTGTCTTATTTAATGCTGCTGACGTTCCTAGAATCTCTCAAACAAGCAGTATCTGTCCTCAGCATGCCCTGTAACTCTCACTAAGTGGCACCTCCAAGCCCAGCACAGGTAGCATCTCTTTGCAGATCATTATGTAGCTCATTCCAGTTGGCCTCAGGTAGGGCATAGGCAGCAACTAACCTTAGGTTGCACCTACTGGGAGGGCCCAGATCCAGCACACCTGGTGGACAGTTTCAGACTGCACCGAAACACCACCCAACCATCTCCACAATTGACATACTCAAGGGGCAGACTCAGAGGGCACCAAGAGTCCTGCTGAAGTGAGTTCTGCTCTGTCGGGGTTGGCCCCTGCACAGCAGATCCTCTGCTATGGTCACTTCCAGCCTTTATAACCAATTGGATTGGGGGTAAATCCCTTCCATTGATAGTAATCAAGGCTTAACTACAATAGGAGGGTGTACCTGGGGCACCCAGGTTGGTGACTGGGGAGGCTGTGCCACTGGGCCCTACAGGACACTTACTACATACGGCCACTCTACCAAGACCGAGAGATGTAGCAGCTCTATCAAATACATAGAGCCAAACACAGGGAAGCAGCCAAAATGAGACAAAGAAACATGTCCCAAGCAAAAAAACAAACAAGCAAAAAAGAGAACAAAACTCCAGAAAAAAGAACAAAATAAAATGGAGACAAGCAATCTATCAAATGCAGAGTTCAAAACCTGGTTATTTAAAAAAGAAGTCAAGAGCCCTAGTTGGTTTGGCTCAGTTGATAGAGCGTCGGCCTGCGGACTGAAAGGTCCCAGGTTTGATTCCAGTCAAGGGCATGAGCCTGAGTTGCAGGCTCGATCCCCAATCTGGGGCGTGCAGGAGGGAGCCGATCAATGATTCTCTTATCATTGATGTTTCTATCTATCTCTCCCTCTCCCTTACTCTCTGAAATAAAAAAAAAACAAGTCAAGAAAACAAGCAAACGCTGGTTATAAGGATGCTCAATAATCTCAGTGAGAACTGCAATGAAGAAATAGGAAACATAAAAATGGAGATAGAAAACATAAACAAAGAACCAGTCAGAAGAATACACTAACTGAAATAAAGAATATATTACAGGGAATCAAGAGTAAAGTAGATGAAGCAGAGGATCAAGCCAGCAATTTGGAAGATAAGGAAGCAGAAAATGCCCAATCAGAATAGCAAAAAGACAAAAGAATCCAAAAACATGAGGATAGTTTAAGGAGCCTCTGGGAAAACTCCAAGTGTACCAATATTCCCATCATGGGAGTGGCAGAACAAGAACAGTGAGAGTAAGAAATTGAAAACCTATTTGAAAAAATAATGATTCAAAACTTCCCTAACCTGTTGAAGGAAATAGACATCTAAGTCCAGGAAGCAGACTTATATATCTTTAAGAAGAAGGAAAAAAAAGATAAAAAATATGAATAATAAAATGGTAATAAATTTATCTATTATCCTTGTGCTCATTGCAGTATTATTTTCAACAGCCAAAATATGGAAGTAATCTAAGTGTCCATTAATAGATGAATGGATAAAGAAGTGGTGCATTTATACAATGGAATATGACTCAGCCATAAAAAGAATAAAATCTTGCCAACTGCAACAACATGGATGTACCTAGAGGGTATTGTGTTGAGTGAAATAAGTTAGACTGAAAAAGACAAAGGCCATATGATTTCACTTAAATGTGGAGTCTAAAAAATAAGATAGGACAGATATTGATATCAGCATTTTACAAAAGATGAAAAAGAGGGGATTGTCAATGAGACTGAGATCATTCCAGGTTCATTTGTTCAATATTTTTTTGACAAATATTTACTGAGTGTTCACTACGGGCCACACTCTGAAACCCAAGATATATATTAATGAAAAAAACAACAAGAACTGCCCCTCTGCACATTTGTTATTTTTCCCACCTAGCATTCATGCCCCCTTCCCTCTTTCGGCAATTTAGAACGTCTTCCTAGGTAATTATTTAAGAAACTCTGATTTGTGTTTCTTTTTAATGGTGGCTGGAATCATTCTAGTTGATAAATAATTACTAGTTCAAAGCACTTCCTCAGCTTCAAAAGCCATATTTACTTATTCCTTAAAGGCTAATTTGCTGAACAAAAGTGAAAGCTTGAATTATTATTTAATAAAATAAGTCAGGCTTCCAAATCTTTCAGCGATAGCAGTTTAAGTGGAGAAAAAAGAAAGGATTCTAATTTTGCTTTTTTTTGGACTGTGTAGATAAGTTGAGAATATTATAAAAAAGAAATGCAGAAGTGAGAACAAAGTACACTTTTTTTTTCGAAGTTGTTACTATTCTAACACCATCACAGTGTGAGGAAAGAAAACCTCGTAGCCATTAAATACACAGAAACTGTTTTAAATCGTGATGATGGGGAGCAGTGAGCCTTTCTTCTAAAAGTTCAGAATTTCCTAATATAAACAGTTTAACTTCATTGCATTCTAATCTTTTGAGAAGAATTTTCTAAATTTATGAGATGTAATCTGGCACACATAATTTAAACTGTTAAGTTTATATTTTGGTTTAAAAAAGATCTTTGTTTTGGATGTCATTGTAAAATCCTTGGAATCTAAAAATATGATCTTTTTCATGAAAGAAATTAACTAGACCTTCATAAATTAACAGGGCTTTTATGGAAAATGGATCTGACCAAAATAACCAAAGCTGTCCTGGAGTTTAGCCAGAGTTTTAATATTATGTTAATCAAAGGTAACACTTTCTAAAAGGAATGATGTTTGACTTCATAATAGAATGTATTTTTTCATAACTTACACTAGAAGGCTCAAAGGATATGAGCCACTTTCCCAATATTGTACATTAGTTTTGAAAAGATAACGTTTGCTGATGTTGATAATTCTGAAATCTGCAAGAACCTTCTGGATCAGAAGGCTGAGTGAAATGGTTAAAAGTGTGGTCTTTGATGTCATGGAATTTTGGATTCAAAGGCCTACTCTGTCATTTACTGTGTCACCTTAAACAATTTATATACCATCCCATACACCTTAATTTTTACATCTGTAAAATGGAAGCAAGGAAGGAGTGTATAATAACACCTACCTTGTAGGGTTTGATACTTGGCATGGTGGCTGGCCCATTAGAAGTGCCAAACAAATGCAAGTTGTTGTAGACAAAAAATATTCAACTCCCTTTTGTTTATGTAACACATTACATTTTCTAAATGATTTGTGTCATAGCACCCCAATTAATTTTTTGAGACAAATGAGAGGAAAATAGAACATATATTGATATCACCATTTTACAAAAGATGAAAAAGAGGGGATGTTAATGAGACTGAGATCATTCCAGGTTCATTTGTTCAATATTTGTTTAACAAATATTTATTGAGTGTCCACTCTGGGCCACTCTCTGACACCCTAGATATATATTAATAAAAAAACCAAAACAAGAACTGCCTTTCTGTACATTTGTTATTTTTGCCACCTAGCATCCATACCCTCTTCCTCCTTTTGGCAATTTACTATTTCTTCCTGGGTAATTTATCTGTCCTCCATTGTTTGCAAACTGGTGGTGCAGAAGGACATGGCATAACTCTAGGCAATCAATCTCACTTGCCTGGGTTTTGGAAACTTGTGGGGAAGGATACAAGATAAAAATAATTGCAGCTAGCCCAGCTGGTGTGGCTCAGTGATTGAGCATCAACCCATGAACTAGGTCATGGTTCCATTCCCCATCAGGGCACATGCCCAGACTGTGGGCTCAGTCTCAGGTAGAGAGTATGAAGGAGGCAGCCAATCAAAGATTTTCTCTCATCATTGATGTTTCTAACTCTCTCTCTCCCTCTCCTTTCCTCCATGAAATCAATAAAAGCATATTTAAAAAAATAATTTCAGCTTATTTAACCCTGATGACACTACCTATTAGTTCATGTAAAGATACCCAGAGCTGCTCTAACTTTTATCTTGACTATCTGATGCTACACTACAAGGTAGATAACATTCCAAAATAAAATTTCTTTTTGCTTAGGTTAACCAATGTCAGATTATATTGTTTTCATCCAAAGAAACATAACTGATAGAACCTGTGCAAGTGCAACATAATTCATTCCCAGAAGTCTTGAAATCTGTTTCTAAGAAAACGTTGTTGTAATATTGGTAGTGTGGCAGACAAGAGGTTGCTTTATCTTAGTCTTATTTTGTACCTAGGAGGAAAGTGTTAGGGCTTTGCCAGTAATGTGGGCTGCAAAGGAATTCACAACTAAAAGAAGAGATGCAGAGAGGAAGTTTATTTTACTTTCCAAGAGAGGAAAGGGCCGGTGCATTGCTAATCAATACAGGGCAAGAAACTAACAGGGGCTCTACTTTTAAAGAGTAATGGCTGCTGTTGCTAGGTGACAAGGAAGAAAGGGGTTTGGGGTTAAAGTTGAGCAGACATCAGGGGGTTGTCTTGAAAAGTTATAGTTTATTTGTTTTCCAGTAAACTGTATGGCAGATGTCCAAGGGAGGTGCCTTATCAGTATTTTCCCCAAGCCTGTAAAACATGCTTAGAGTAAGTTATGAAGAGTTCAAAAGAGGATTGTTTGAAGGAGTAGGGGGAAGGAAGCGTTCTACTAACTAGAGACTCCTTGGTGTGAATTATCCCTGAGTTCTGGAAACAACAGGGAGGAGGAGATGCAAGAATGCAGCCTTGAGAGTAGCTTATCTTGTCTTGCATGCAGTTTGAATACAGGGGCTGTTTAAATCAGAGGAGCTAACAATCTTGGGGTTTAATTACCAGGTGCTCCTCATAAATTGTGGAAGGCTAGAGCAAAGAAAAAGAAAGGCTTTTTTTTTGTTTGTTTCTGCCCTTACAGAAAGTATTAACACATTAATGTTCCCTGTACAGCTGAAGCAAAACAAAGTAATATTTTTCTTAGACTAATCTATTCCTCTGGTTCTTTATTCCTCTTTCCTGCTCTATTTCTTTTTTTTCCATTTGATAACCATCCAGACTCTGCCTCATGTCTTTCCTTAACATATGTCAGCTTTTGCTACATAACAAACTTCAAAGTTTCAGTGACTTAACACCAATAAATATTAATTTAAAAAATTTTTTTTACCCATGGGTCTGTTGACAAGCTGGACTTAGCTTCCATCTACATGTTGGGTCCAGATCTGCTCTATGTGTCTCCTTGTTCTTCTTGGACGGACCAGGTTACTCTCCTGGTCGATGACAGAGATTCAGATGCCAAATTTCAAAGCCAAATCCTGAGAGCAGCTGATGAAAAATATTGAGAAAATCTGGAAAGAGTACTTTCATGATGTTTAGTTAAACAGGAGCTGGCTTAACAAGGAGGCAGAAATTTACAGTGATGCTCAATTTACATTTATGCTGCTTCTTTTTGTTTTCGGGACAAGCTATTTTTCTGGATTATTTCCCACTCCTTTTCCTTGGTACTTTATAAGTTTTGAAAAATTGATGTAGTCACTGAAATGAAAGTTTTTTTCCACAAGGGAAAAAAAATCTCTAGTTTATACAGAAGATGCTTGCTCTAGACACAGAAGCAGTGTTTCCATTCAGGCTTGATTAATGAGTGGACGCTGCCTTAGATTTCAGTACTCTTTTTGCCTTTCCCAAACAACTTTGACCTTTGCAGATAAATGTCCTGGCTGAGCAAAGAACTCAGGGCCACTGGATGATGGTTATGTCTGCAGCAGGGAGAGCTGGATTCTCATGTGTCTGCTAGTGCTACATTGATTTGATGTGAGATGGTATCTACTGAGTTACAATGGATCTGTGTCCTTGGTTACCCAAAAGACAGCAAGTGCATTTCCAAAGGTTGAAAACATCATTGGAAAAGTGAGTTCCAATTGCAATTACTGCAGTTTGCCTTTAATCTCTTTCTTCCTTAAGGGACCCTTGTTACTTCATAACCCATTCTTGCCTCTCTCCCTACACCAATACATTTTGGACTTTCTAAATAGACATTCACTCGGATGCTCTGAATATATATTTTCTTCCTTCATCTAGAATGTGCCTATTTACAAACCCAACCACCAGAAGCTAACTGATCACTGCGATCAGATAAAATTACTGTTAACCCATTAAAAAGAACACACCAACTATAATTTATTGATCATTTTTAAGTGCTTTAAAAGCTTCATGTCAACGAATGCTCACAATATCCTTATAAAGCAAGTACTATTATTATTCCCATTTTACAGATTATGAAGCTAAGTTTTAGAGAAAGAAGTCAATTGCTCAAGTTCTTGGAGCCATTAAGTGGCAGAGTCAGGCTTCCCATTCAGGTCCTCTTGACTCCAAAGTCCATATTTTTCACAGTGCAGCCTCACATGTGTCTTTGACTAATAAGGGGTTTCATGGGACATCTGTAATTTGATAAGGGACAGTGCCCATAGGAATGCTGACCTACTGACTGGTTGATAATAAACCATCTTCACGTTTATCAGTAAAAAAAAATGATAGGTATCTATGTTCTGAAGATAAAGTTGACACTCAATGATTGATGCTGAGATATATAAAGGCTATCTTTTCCTCTATTAAAAAAATTTTAAATATTTTTAAAATTGATTTTAGAGAGGAAGGGAGAGGAAAAGAGAGATAGAAACATCAATGATGAGAGAGAATCATTGATCGGCTGCCTCCTGCATGCTCCCCACTGGTGATCGAGACCGCAACCCAGGCATGTGCCCTGACCAAAAATTGAACCATGACCTCCTGGTTCATAGATCGACACTCAACCGCTGAGCCACACCGGCTGGGCTCCTCTATTCAAATTTTTGCATTACCTAAAAAAAAAAAAGAAAAAAAAGAAATTTCAGCTGTTCTTTACTATTAATTCACCTATTTACTTTCTTTTAAAAAATAGATTTTTATTGATTTCAGAGAGGAAGGAAAAAGAAGAAAGAGATAGAAATATCTCTTGTAGCCTGACTGCTGGGCTCACCTACTTACTTTCAAGTTCTCCTAATCACTTTGGATTCAGGAGATTTAAGAAATGAAGTCTTAAGAAAACTGCCCTATTTATTTTCAGGTCCAACTTTTCTTCATGGGAAGAAAGAAAAATTGGTGGTTCTTCACACATTTTGCAGATAAATTATCTGAATACATACTTGACTTCATTGTTTAGATACATTTAAAAAGTAAGAGAATAAAAAGTAGAGCTCAGTGATTCTGATCTTGACACACTTCTACTATATAAACTTAGTTAAAGCTTATTGAGTTATAGGTTTGTTTGCTGAGTTACTGAGTCTAGCCATAGACTCAGTGACTTACTTCATGAAGGAACTGCCTCCCATTCTCTGTGGCACAGCCAAATCTCACACTTCTACCTGGAGGTCATTTTCTGTACCCAGTACTGCAGAAACAGTAATTTGGTAATTGTGCAGCTAAGTAACTGCTCTGTAATAATAAGTGTCTATTAATGGCCCAAAATGCAATTCTCAGGGACACAATGTGATCGTTTGAATGAATGGAAGAAAGGCTTTTTCTTTGTCAACAGGTCACAGAACATCAGTGCCTGCAAGGCAGGCTGGCAGGTGTAATCATTACGCCAGCCCTGATGGTTATGAAAATTGCTTATGGAGCTCTCAGTGAGTTTTCAAAAAGATCATGGGAATGATAACAGATAAAAAAATATATTTTCATTGATTTCAGAGAGGAAAGGAGAGGGAAGAGAGATAGAAACATCAATAATGAGAGAGAATCATTGATCGGCTGCCTCCTGCATGTCTCCTACTGGGGATCTAGCCTGCAACCTGGACATGTGCCTGGAGCGAGAATCAAACTGTGACCTCCTTGTTCATAGGTCAACACTCAACCATGGAGCCACACCAGCTTGGTAACAGATAAAATATTTTAATGGAAGAATCCAAGATCAAGGATTCACAAATTTTTTTAGTAAAAACAAAACATTCTTGGCAACTCCAACAAATTGCAAATCACTCTTGGCAGCAAGTGATCAATAATGTGTCACTGCCAGAAAAAATTATCTACAGTTCATACTCATGGTAACTATGATAGTTTGGCCATAAAATAGAAGAGAAGAAATGTAATAATAATAACAATAATAATAAAAACTTTTGTTGTTTTCTGTTTTCCTACAAAACCAGCAGCCATGAAATAATTTTGTTTCTTTACCAGGTTTTGTGGACAGATATTAGAAGCAGAAAGCTGATGTGGGGAGTGCACAAAAGCTTGCTCTAATCACGATTTTGTCAGATATGTCAGTGGTAAATATGGCTCTCCCTGACATCCATTTGCCCATCTTTCTCACAGTACCTTTCTCTCTACCTAGAAAAATAATAAGATAGTAACAGAGAAGAAAGAAAATAAATGGAAGAAAAAAATTTCTAAAGACATATAGAGCAGGAAGAAAGAAAGAAGAGAGGAAGAACAGAATGATGAAATGGGAGAAACACAGAGTGTACCTTCTTCTTCAGCTCCATCACTTTCTGGCTATATGATCAGAGACATATTTATTGACGTAACATTGGTTAATAACATCACATAAATTTCAGATGTACTACATTATAATTTTTGTTTGTTTGTTAAATCCTCACCGGAGGATATTTTTCCATTGATTTTTAGAGAGAATTGGAAGGAAAGGTGGGAGGGAGTGGAGAGAGAGAGAAACACATTAAGTGATCACCCCAACCAGGGCAGGGATCAAACCTTAACTAAGACTGAACCCTTGATCCTTTAGTGGGAGGGGTTGATACTCTAATCACTGAGTCAGGGCTACTACATTATAATTTGATATCTGTTTACTCTATTGCATGTTCACTACCAAAAGTCTACTTTCCTTCCTTTACCATATATTTGATACTCTTTACCCAATCCACCTTTCTTCCACCTGCTTTCCTTGCAGTAACCATCATTCTGTTGTCTGTATCTATGAGCTTGTTCTTGTTTTGTTAGTTCATTTGTTACTAAGTGTTTATTAATAGATAAATGGATAAAGAAGATGATGAAATGATAGTCATAAAAAAGATGAAATATTGTTATTTGTGACAAAATGATGGTTCTTGAGGGTATTTTGCCAAGTGAAATAAGTCAAACAGAAAAGGACAAAAACCTTATGATTTCACTCATATGGAGAATATACAAAAAGTAACAAATGATGAAAACAAACTCATAATGCATTTCACTATATGGTTCTGTGCATTATTTTCTTTTATCTTACAATAACTCTCTCTGTATATGATTTGACTGCAATCTTTTCTCCTGTTCATGTTTAAGTGAGATGAGGTTTTAAGAAATCTCAGAAGAGGAGTGTTGACCAGTAGTTTTCCTAGCTTTGCAGTTGTAGAACTTCCTCTTATTAAAATGAAGTATTCAAAGGATATGATCTTATACTTTCTGCAGCCCACCTTCTCTGTACTCCTCCCTTACTGTTACCTGGATCTTTTCTTCGGTTTGGTCCTACTGTCTCTATCCTGCTCAATTTACCTTCTCCTCCCAGAAGATTCTCCTGGAGGCTGATCTTTGTCCTACGAGGGAGCTTTAGCTGTTTTATTTAATATTTTCATAGGGCACACACTGACCTGCATCCTCTAAACTTTTGTTGTCCCTTAGCACTCACCTTTTATTTGGAGCCCATGAAACCAGTACCTATTTTGGTGCTGTTCCAAAAAATGGCCCACTGAACTTTCCAGAATGGACTCCTCAAGTTTGGGTCCTTGAGCCATTCAATTTCTGAGTCTTCCAGTTCTCCCAGGTGTCAGAAATCCCTTTGCCTACCCTCTGCTTCCTTCCACACAGTTGGCAGTAGTATGTGAGATGTGCTCAAGTTAGTTTCACCTCAATTCAACCAACTTTGAGGTGTATAGAGATACTTTTTACTTAGTTTTGTTGTAGAATTTGTCTGAATGTATTTCTAGTTGTTTGTTTGTTTGTTTGTTTGTTTTGTTTTTTTTTTAGGGGAATTTGGAAAGTCTAAAACTATGTTGTATACCTACAATTTCCTTTGAACCTCCTCCTCCCCAAAATCGTTATAATAGTTTTAAAGGTTTGCCTTTCTGTATATAGTTATTTACTCTACCTGACATTTATTTTCATGTAGGATAGCAGATAAGAATTTAAGTTTTTTTTATTTGTGTAATTTCCCCCCACATATATGCATCTTTTCTTCCTCTGAGTTGTAATACCATATCTCTGACAAGTTTTCATAAAACCTTGGTTCTGTTTGAGATCTGTATTCTATATTTCTATTCTTATACCAAGATTACTCTGTTTTAATTGCCACAGTAATTACATTTCTTTATAATATACTAGAGGCCCGGTGCATGAATTCATGCACATTGAAAGAAATTAATTAGAAGAAATATTTTAATATTGCTACTCGCCCTTCCTCTGTAATAGAAGTGTCAACCAAATTAATGATTGACAATGACAGATGGAAACACACACGTGCGATTGGCACCAACGAGAGCTTTATATCTACACTAATAAAAGAGAAACATGGTGATTGGCGTACGACCGCTACCCTTCCCATTGGCTAATCAGGGAGATATGCAAATTAACTGACAGCCAAGATGGCGGCCGGCAGCCAGGCAGCTTGAAACTAACATGAGGCTTGCTTCCTTCAGTGACGGAGGAAACCAACGTTCCCCGCCTGCCTTGCAGGCCTCTGAGCCTGCAGTTTGAACATTGTAACAAACATAGAAGCTAAAAAAAACCCCAGAAACCAGCTTTCAGCGAGCTGGGATCTCAGAGCTGGAGTCAGAGCTGGAGTTATACATTGTTTCGAACCGAAACAAACCAGATACCTACTTTCAGCAGCGGAGGCCTAAGAGCTGGAGCCTCAGAGCTAAAGCTGGCCCAGAATAAAAAAAA